TTCTATTCTATTCTATTCTATTCTATTCTATTCTATTCTATTCTATTCTATTCTATTCTATTCTATTCTTGGAATTAGAAATTTCTATCCCTGTTGAGATGAAAAAAGATAAAATAACGTCAAGAGCAGGGGTGCCCAAATATGGCCCCTTTGCCAATTGTTGACTTTGACTCCCAGAATTCCTCAGCCAGCCATGCACTGATGATGTTACCAAGTTTGGTAATGAGATGTTAGCAAGTAAACAAAACCAAGCTTAGAGAACAACAAGGATCCCTTGTTTTTAATCCTGTGCTACAAATAGACTACTCTAAAAAGGTTAATACCCAGGCAGTCCTCAACTTATGAGCAGAATAGAGCTCTAAATTGCGGTTGCTAAGCGAGACCATTGTTAAGCGGGTTTGGCTCCATTTGATGACCTTTTTGTCAAGTTGTTAAGTGAACCCCTGCAGTTGTTACGTTAGTAACACGGTTGTAAAATGAATCTGGCTTCCCCACTGAATTTGCTTGTCAGAAGGTCACGAAAGGGGATCATGTGACCCCCGGACACTGCAACCATCATAAATATGAGACAGCTGCCAAGCGTCCAAATTCTGACCCCGTGATCATGGGGATGCTGCAAGAGTCATGTGAAAAACAGACGTAAATTACTTTTCTCCGCTCCCAGGGTAACTTTGAATGATCGCTCTGATAACGAACCGTTGTAAGTCGAAGTCTACTTACATTTCTTTTTGAAATATTTTTAAAATCCAATGAGAGGATTGACTTCACATCTCTACTCTCACCCCACAAACCCCAAGAACAACGAAAGCCCAGACCACTGGAGAATTATTACCCAAGAACCGTGCCTCGCTGACTCATGACCGACTCCAGCTCGTCCAGGAAGATTGTGGAAGGCGCATGATAGCGGGCAAGTTCAAATAACACCTGCGGAGAAAGAGACAGAAGCCAAGAAAGGAATTTCAAATGGGACCAAGGGTTTGTGTGCGATCGTTCACCAACAGCAGGAATCTGGGAAGGGGGCCATACTCGTAGCTGCAAAGCCAAGGGTGGGCTTCAAAAATTTTAGCAAAAGGTTCTCTGCCTTGACTGTTGGCTTTCCATCTTAACCATCTTAACCACTATCGTTGTGCCTGTATAAATCTAGGATGCCACGTATCACTTCTTGTCATCTATGAATTCCACACAGAGTTTTTTGAGCCACCTGACGTGAGGTAAAAAAAAAATGAGCAATCCAAAACCAGATTGTTCCCATGTGGATGCTGTCAACTCGTAAAAATATTTCTATGGTCTTTTTAGAGTTGCCAACAGAAAGGGAGAGGGGGGAACAGTGGGCAGCTTGCATTCCATAAATGCTTTCAAAGATAGTTTCTAGGTGGCCAAAGTTTCTGCCGGCGCAAAATTCTAACTGGAGAGCATGATTGATGACTCTGGGCTATGGAGGTGTCCCATTGGAGAATATGTATCAGGATGTACCCAGGGGGGTGGGGGAAACCAGGGTCAAGGGTGACAATGAATGATTTATCTCAGAGTTGGCTACACCCAGGCAGTGCTGGCATGTTTCCTCCTAGTAAATCTTCTTTTAAGTTTTGGAAGTTCAGCTCGAGACTCATGATTTAAATGGGCGCAACTGCCGTAATCCTGACAGATGCTTTAAACATCTGTCACTATAAGCCTCAGTTAGAGACAAATAAAATGGGTATCAGTTCCAACACTGCAAAACAGATAAACATTTTTTTAAAAATGTACCACAGGTAGTCCTCAACTTATGAGTGTTTACTTAGCGACCATTTAAAGTTACAACAGCACTGAAAAACCGTGACTTATGACTGTTTTTCACACTTACGACCATTGCCGCATTCCCACGGTCACATGATCAAAACTCAGATGCTTGGCAATTTGACTCATATTTATGATGGTTGCTGCGTCCTTGTGACCCCGTTTTGAGACCTTCTGAGAAGCAAAGTCAACGGGGAAGCCAGATTCACTTAGTGACCCAGTTACTAACATCTGCAGTGAGAAAGGCCGTAAAATGGAACAAAATTCACATAACAGCCGCCTGACTTAGTGACAGAGATTTTTGTCTCAATTTGGGTCATTAGGTAAGGACTTCCTGTATATATTTCGCTTTCTGCCATGGGATCAGGAAAAAGCAGTGGCTATTATAGTAAAATATTATAACGATCTCATTATGAGAATACATGAAGAACATATTAGAAATGCTGCCTTGATATGGACGTACAAAATCATTCTTAAATCCCACAGCTCGCAAAAGAGGAGAGGAAGAGCAAAGAGAGGCAAATAATCCTGTCTTTACATTTTAAATCTTTTCACCTAAATCCTACTCAATTACGGAGGGAATAATAAGAAAGGAGAACGATTCCAGAAAGAGGAGCTGTAACAAAATCCTCCTATAACCTCTGGAGACCAACATGTCCCTTTACAGTTGCATTTATAGATTTTTAAATACACTTTCATAAGCAAAAAATGAATGCAAAGAGAATTAAAAGTTGGGTGAGCTAAACGCTTAGGTACGTTTTACACACTCTATAAATAACCCTCTTCAGAAAAACCAGAATTCTGGTGCAATTTACATGGCAGATCTTTTTTATGTCTTGCAAAAATGTGCTGAAATGTGGAGGTAGTCCGCAACTTTTGACCACAATTGGGACCAGAATTTCTGTTGCTAAGAGAGCTGTTTGTTCAGTGAATTTTGCCCCATTTCACGACCTTTCTCACCATAAGTTGTTAAGTGAATCACTAAAGTTATGAAGTTAGTATCACCGTTGTTTAAGTGAATCTGGTTTCCCCCACTGACTTTGCTGGTCAGAGGTTGCAAAAGGGGACCACAAGACCCCGGGATGCTGCTACGAAAATGTCAGCCAAGGTTTGATCCCCGTGACCACGGAGATGCTGCAACGGTTGGTAAAGGTGAAAACCGGGCGTAAGTCGCTTTTTTCAGTGCCCTTGTAACTTTGAATTTGACTTACAACCATTTGCCATCAAACAAATGGTTGTAAGTCAAGGACTAGCTGCTTTATAGACACAAAGAGTCGGGACGATAAAATCGAATGCAGAACTTGTTATGTCCACTAGAGGGGAGCAAAGAAACAGAGAAAACTAACTCTGCTGTCCTAGTACAGTGGTCGCCAACCAGTGGTCTGCAGAGAAATGTCACCCCCAAAGCAATTAATCCAGGCTACGCGGAAACACAAGGCTGCACCACCCACATGGCCCAGGGGAACACAAGGCTTGCGTCGCTTGCATAGCAAACAACACAAGGTAGTGAGGGGAGAGGGGGGGGAAATTGCCCCACTTGCCCCATGCATTTCACCTGGCCACTGGGCTCCTTCTTTCCGCTTCTTTCTTCTTCTGCTTTTGGCTGCACACAAGGAAAGCAGCAAAAGTCTTTCTTTCTCTCCCCGAAACTCCGCCAGAAATGAGTCTTTGGGACCCTGCAAGGCCTCCTGCTCCAAGAGGCTGCGCCGGTGTGACAAGTCTCACAAAGACTCATTTCTGGCAGAGTTTGGGGGAGAGAAAGAAAGATTTCTGCTGCTTCTGCTGCTTTCCTTGCATGAAGCCAAAACTCTCTCTCTCTCTCTCTCTTCCCCTGAGAACGGAGCTGGAGACGGTCTCCTGCGATCCCAAATAAAGAATGATCGATCGGTAGGAAAATGGGGTGGGGAATTTTCCTGCAGACTTTTTTGGGGATTTTCCCAGGGTCTCTGGTTCGCGGGATTTAAAATCATGAGTTTGGTGGTCCCTGAGGTCCAAAAGGTTGGCGACCACCGATTTAGTGAATGTTTGGGCTATTACAGCCCGTTTAAAAATCTCTCTGAATTTGTATTAGTTCCACTGTATAATTTTTAATCCTGGCTGATTTTCTAGAGTAATTTTTTTTCAACCACTTGGATTTCGATGCCTCGAATCCACTAGCAAGCATACTGGATGAGGAATTCTGGGAACTGAAGTTTGCGCTCAGGTGGGAAAACACTACACTAGAAAGATATAGATGATTAGTTTAGCCAACGCTTGCCTTAAGCCACATCTTAAGCAAATTCTTTCTTAAATTCTGTGTATAAAGAAAACAAAAGGGATTTTTACTCTGACAAGCTTCTCTGAATCGCCTCTCCATTTGCTGACAATGGTGGATGCGGAGATGTTGAAGAATGTTGTGTTGCACTCAGTGGCAACAGCTTTAGCCAGCAAAGTTTTTCCAGTACCTAGAAATTGAAAGAAAGGTGATGTTTACTCTCCAGTCATAAAACGTATGAAGAATAGTTGCAGAAATGGGGCGTGTCTACTTTAAAAAAACGAAATATTTTAGGATATATTAAAAAGGCAGAATATTTCCCCCTAAAAAAGAAGTAGAAACTCAAGAGAGGCAGAAATTCAGTCCCCCCTCCCCCCCCTTGGTCAATGGGCCATTAAGGCCTGGGCCAGTCTATTCTACATACCAAAGATCTACCTCCTTCAGTCAGAGCCATTCAATTGCCCTTCATTGCATCACCCAGCAAATTTCAACCAAACTTAGCACACAGACAACCTACAAAGCTAGCTATGACCTCTGACAACAACCAATCAGGATAGTCTTCCTGTGCCCCAGGAAGCTCAAAGCCAGAGGGGTTATAAAACCCAGGGATTCTCAGCATCTCTTCCCTTTTTTCATCACCCAAGAGCTCCAAGGCATGTGATCTTATCTACCATTTCATCTTCCCAAACAGCCTCCGTGTTTCCGGTGTCTTGGAACTGAACCCAAAAGGACATTTCTTCCAACAATACTTTTCTAGACTGGAAAGACTAGGGGTGACATGATAGGAGGGTTCCAATATTTGAGGGGCTGCCACGAAGAAGATGGGGGCCCAACCTATTCTCTGAAGTTAACCTGAAGGCAGGACAAGAAACAACGGAAGGGAAAAATGATGAAGGAGAGATCCAAACCTACACATGGGGAGAAATTCCCTGACAGTTTTAACAATTAATCGGTGGAACAACTCGCACCCAGAAGTTGTGAATTTTGATTATAGGAACCCTGGGGGATGCTGCAGTGGTCATAAGTGTGAAAAAAGGGCCATAAGAAGGCACTCTTTTCAGCGCCGTTGTAACTTTGAGCGGTCTCTAAATGAACTATTGTAAGTCGAGGTCTCTTTCATGTAAGGAGGATGTTGGCATTCAGAATGAAAAAAAAAAGAGTCCCAAAACTTAATTAAAAACAAAAAACAATCATACCCGGAGGCCCATATAGCAGAAGTCCCTTCCAAGGAGAAAGGATGCCTGTAAACAGCTGAGGGTACTGTGGGAAAAAAGAAAGAAAATGACAAAAAAAAAGCCATGACTAAACAACAGGCTGTTTGGAACACGAAGTACACTTGGCAAAAGTCATTCTGGCAACTTAAGCAGCGTTTGTTTGTTTTTGATCAGAACATTGCTAAGGGGAAAATGTAGGATGGCTGATTCGGTATTTCTCACCTTTGTTTGTTTAATGTCCCCCTTCCTTTGAAACATCCAGTTCATTGTTAGATTTTTATTTATTTATTTGATTTTGTCATGCCCCTGTCAGAATCTGATTCGGAGGAGGAAGCCAAACAGCTGTCAGGAAGCGGGAGTGTGGCTCCGTTGGCTGTGGAGGAAACTGGGAAAGAGCAAAGTCTGGCTGGGCAGAGCAGGGGAGAGGTAGAACAAGGGAGAGGGAGTTCAAAGGAAGATCCAGGCCCAACCCCCCTTCATTCTAGGGCACGGAGGGAGGAACAGAGAAGAGAGCAACGTGAATTGCATGGCTTATGGGGGAGGAAAGGGCCCTGATTCCCTTCATGAGCTGCAGCTGGGAACACAGTGTATAAAAAAGGCAAGCTGCATGCAGAAAGCTGTTGGGAGCAAACGTGAATTTATCTTGTATCGTCGATGCTTATCTGTGCTTCTGGCGTCTTCCCAACTGTGTGAGTTTTGCCATGCCTTCAAGTTTGAAATTCCTGCTCCTGCCCTGCCAAACTAATTACTTCAGTTTGGTTTGCTTGGATTTTAAGTTACGGTTTGTGTCGACTTTGTTTTGGACTGAATTTTCTATGGTCAAAGGCCATTCCTGGGAGAGTTTTTCGCCAGCCCAAAGGTAACCTGGACATTGAGGGCAAAGTTGGAGATAATAAAGGGATTCTTATTGCTTATCTGACTGTGTTATCTTTGTGCCACGCCCTGGATCATCACATATTTTTAGTCTTTAGGTCTAGAACTGACTGTCTTCCCACTTTCTAGCCCGATGCCTTCACCACAAGACAAAACGACTCTCAAGCCAGTTCCCGAGTTAATTTTCCTTCCTTCCAAATTCCTTCCTGTTCCCCAATTTAAGTAGTATTTTCAAAATCAGCAATGGTAGCTTGGAAAGAAAAATAAATAAAAAGATTACAGTGGCAACTCTAAAACTGGCATAGGTCATGCCAGTATGTCGCCTCTAATAAATCCTTTGAAGTTTTTTGAAGTTTCGCTTGAGACTCACGATTTAATTAGGGCGATCGATGGAATCCTGACATACAGATAGTCTTCAACTTGCAACTGTTCGTTTCCTGACTGTTCAAAGTTATGATGGCACTGAAAAAAAGTGACTTACGACTGCTCCTCGCACTTAAAACTGTTGGATTGTATTTGCAGTTTATGTGATCAAAATTCAGGGGTTTGGCAACTGCCATGTATTTACAAGTATGGCAGTGTCCCAGGGTCATGTGAGAATCACTTGCAACCTTCCCAGATGGATTCCGGTGAGCCAAATCAATGAGGGAAGCCTGATTTGTTTAACGACCATGTGATTCACTTAACAACTGCAGTGATTTGCGTAACAATCGTGGCAAAAATGGTTGTAAAAGTCAGGAGTGGCTCACTTAACAGATGCCCTGCTTAGCAACGTAAACTTTGGGCCCAATTGTGGTCATATGTTGAGGACTAGTCCTCGACTTGCGATCACAACTGAGCACAGAATTTATGTGGCTGAGAAATTTGTTAAGTGAATTTCGCTCCATTTTGCGACTTTTCTAGCCACCTTTGTTAAGTGAATCACTGCAGTTCTTATGTTAGTGACACGGTTGTTAAGTGAAGCTATCTTCCACATTGACTTCACTTGCCAGAAAGTCGCAAAAGGGGATCAGATGACCCTGAGACACTGCAGCCATCATAAAAGTGAGTCAGTTGCCAAGCATCCCTATGTAAATCACGCGACCATGGGGATGCTACAACGGTCGTAAGTGTCAAGTCATAAAACATTTTGTATGCACGTTTTATAGTTGACAACAGAAGGAAGGCGGGGCGTTTCAAAGAGGAGGAGGCAGTGTGGAATCGAAAGGACATTCCATTCATATTTTCTTCAAAGACTGATTAGATGACTGAAGCTTCTGCCGTGCAAAAATCTAATTGGAGAGCATGATTGATGACTCTGGGCTATGGACGTTTTTCGTTGGATGATACTCCCAGATGTGGGGGAGGGGAAGCAGGATCAAGGGTGACAGTAAATTACGTATCTCAGAGTTGACTACGCCCAGGTAAATGCCGGACGTAGAATGTTACCTTCAAATAAATCTTTTTTTTAGTTTTGGGAGTGTGGCTCGAGGCTCATGATTTAATTGGAGTTAACTGCCGGAATCCTGACAAGACTGCTTTTCCCCCGGGTCACAAGTCTCTTTTTTCAGTGCGGTCGTAACTTCCAATGGGCACTCAATGAACTGTTGTAAGTTGAGGACTACCTGTGTATCTTGGCCACAACAACAGAGGCAATTTTTGTGTGACTTTTGAAAAGTTGGCTCAGCTGCTCCTTACCCTGATGGGATACACAACAGCTTCCTTGACCAACCGCTTGGCTGCGTCAAGTCCGATGATGCAGTTCCACTTCACGTTGGGGTTCTGAAGGTAGATATCCTGCAAGACATGGTTTGATCTCTGTAAAAAAAACAGGCCTCCCATTTTCCTGAGCAAGGATAATAAAACACGGAGCAAAATACGCTCGGCCGTGCCGTAAAATTAATGGGGGGGCGGAGGAAGCGACACGACAAAGAACAGATGGTTAATGGAGATGCCGTTATGGGGGAACAGAAGGAAAGAGTCAGCTGTGGCTGAACGACAACTTTCGGCCTCTCTGTCTCTTATTAGTCAAGCTTGGCTGAGTCTACAAAAATCGTCATGATTTCAGCATCAGGCTGGAGGTTTTGGCTGGCTCATTTTTTCTTTAATTCAGGGTGTCCAACCTCAGCAACTTTTAAGACTTGTGGACTTCAATTCCCCAGAATTCCCAGACTAGACTAATAACTTTATTGCCACTTTGAATGTTTGGTGTTGAAACATCAGCTACTCTGTTTCCCCAAAAATACGACCTACCCTGGAAATAAGTCCTAGTTTGATTTTTACATGTGCCACTCAATATAAGGCCTAGTTAAGATCCCACCCACTCCAGAGTGCATGGGTGAAAATTAAGCTAGGGTGGGGATAGGGTGGGTGGGGGGTGGAGCTGCCCTACTACTTACCTTTAGACAGTTGTAGCCAGACCTCGCACACCCTGACACCTGCCTTGCCAACCCATTTCTTCTGCAGCCGGCAAGGCTGGCAAGGCTTTCCTGAAGGCCTCTGTAGCTGATAACAAAGAAGCCTCTGGATCGATCCAGAGCTCTGTTATGGGCTGCAGAGGCCTTCAGGACAGCTTTTCTGGCTGCAGAAGAAGTTCCTGAAGGCCTCTGACAGCGAAAAGGAGGCCGGGGGCAACATGCACAAGTGAGGTTCGTCAGTGGATGACATCCCCCAAAAATAAGACCTGATGCCTTTTTTTCGGTGGCAAAACAACATAAGACAGGGTCTTATTTTCGGGGAAACACGGTAGAAAATCACCAAGCTCAGAGAGCACCAAGGACCCCCACACTTCATTAATCATGGTATCTTGGGCTCCGCAAGGGATTGCTTTTTCCAGGCAGATATAAATTATGTAACTTGTAGGACTCCATAAGGTAGGAGCATCTGCTAATATAAGAATGTGAGGCTCAGGCGAGAAAGGTCCCCATTCATATTCCTCCGGTCTCTACTGCTTGACTTTATATCAAGATGGGCAGTAGGATCAGTCCCTCAGTGAATGAGGCTGGAATTCAACAACCATCCTTGGTTTGACAAGAAAAAGCTCACCTTACTGATAACCGTTGCAAGCTCCCTCATTTCAGCTGTCATCCCAAGGAAGGCGCCCAAAGGTTTTAACAGCCGTTCCTGGAAACATGGAAAACACACACCGGTTGCAGAAAATACTGTTTGGGTTGACTCCTGGTCTGTCTATTGTTGACCTCCATTCACCTACCTAAAGAACTAGGCATGTTGTCAGCGTTCCAATGAAACTCCCCATTTCGTTCAGCACTCAGAAACAAAGTTTATCCATGCAAGAATTTATTAAGGAAGTCATGCTGGCACATCTGGGAAAACCCAAATCTGAGAGTTTGGGGTTTTCCTTTCCCAATTGAAAGGTCAGTGTTCCAGCAAACCTCCATTCCACCCGATAACTCCGAGACAGATATCTCTCCAAGGTTCCTTTTACTTGGATAATATCTGGCACCTCTGTAGAATCCCGAATCTGAAAGTTCTGGGTTTCCTTAAAATAAGTAAAAACTACAAAATCCATCCCCTGCACCCATCATCACATCACATGGCCCAATCACTATCCACCCCAAGTTAAGACTTCCCCTCACTTATGCGCAACACAACCTGACCTTGAATCAGAAAAAAAGAATGTTGTTATGTCTAATTAGATAGACCCCAATGAATTTCCCCATCCCACTTTCCCTGGCTCAATTGTGGCAGCGTGGGAGCATCGGATCTCAATATGGCTTCCAAAGCTGACATTATATTCACAAACCCATCCCCTGCACCCACCAGTCCATCACATGGCCCAATCATTCTTCATCCCAACTGGAGACACGCCTCCAGGCACTCCTTTCCCAGTGCAGGGTAACTTGTCCTTGACTTTAGGAGAAGAATGTTGTTATGTCCAATCTTCCACTTCTCTATGAAATCCCCCCTCCCAATTTCCCAGGCGCTAAGATGGAAGCTTCTACATACAATATGGCTTCCAAAGCTGACATATGTAGTCCTTGACTTATAAGTTCATTTAGTGACTGTTCAAAGTTACAGTGGGACTGAAAACAATGACTTGGGACCGTTTTTGACATTTACAATGGTTGTATCATCCCCATGGTCACATAACCAAAACTCAGATGCTTGGCAACTGACTCCTATTTATGACGATCACAGTGTCCCGGGGTCACATGATCCCTTTTTGGGACCTTCTGATAAGCAAGTTCAGTGGGGAAACCAGATTCAGTTAACAACCATAGTTGGGGAAGAAATACAGATGCAAATTTGAGAAGTACTATGAGCAGAGGTGGTATTCAGCAGGTTCTGACCAGTTCTGGAGGACCGGTAGTGGAAATTTTGAACAGTTCAGAGAACCGGCAAATACCACCTCTGACTGGCCCCGCCCCCATCTATTCTCCGCCTCCCAAGTCCCAGCTAATCGACTGGGTCTTCGTTGGTTGCCATGTACAGGAGAACAGAGCTGGAAAGCAAGTTAGTGGGGTAGGGAAGGAATGGGGATTTTGCAATAATCTTCCCCCAGGAGTGAGGAGGGGATGGAGATTTTGCAATATCCTCCCCCAAGCCAAGCCACGCCCACCAAGCCATGCCCACAGAACCAGTAGTAAACAAAATTGAATCCCACCACAGATTATGAAACACATCTGGATTCAATTAATGCAGACCTCCTGACCCTTTTCTTCTAAACAGTGCTTTTTCTCCTCCACAAAGCAAAAATTATTTGGCCATCCTAATTAATTTGGGGGAAATTATTTAAGTGTGAACGCAGTTACTCTCATTCTGCAAAGACACAAAGTAGAGTATTCTGTTTTATATGCTGGAATACACTCTCACACATCAACAGTTCTGATTGGGGTTTTATTTCTAACTGAAATAATTGTTTCGAGAGAACTAATGACTTCTGCCAGCTATTGATTGGAAAGGACGCCACTCACCGAAGGATCTGGATTGCAGTTAAAACTGTGTAGGGAGATTTCACTGGACGCCCCTTTGATAGCATCCTGGATCAGGCCACGGAAATCAATGATTTGGCCCTGTAAGGAGAGAGAAGCAAACACCATTTACTAAGCCTGAACTCCTGGAGTACTTGAGACACTAAACAAGATAGACACAGACTTCAGAGGATAATTAGAACGGCAGAAAAAGCAACTGCTACCAACCTGCCTTCCATTGAGGACCCGTATACTGCACAAGTCAAAAAGAGGGCTGTGAAAATATCTACAGACCTCTCACATCCCAAACATAAACTGTTTCAACTCCTACCCTCAACACAACGCTATAGAGCACTGCACACCAGAACAACTAGACACAAGATCAGTTTTTTTCCCCAAAAGCCATCACTCTGCTAGACAACTAATTCCCAAAACACTGTCAAACTATTTAGTAAGGCTGTATTATTATTATTCTCATCTTATCTATTACCTATCACCTTTTCTACTTACAACTATAACTTTGTTGCTTGTGTCTTTACAATTTATATTGTTTTATTTAGTTTCCTAGTATCATTTGTGTTGATTCCTTATTTAGTATCCTATGACTATCACTGTTATATCTTATGATTCTTGATGAATGTATTGTTATAATGACCATGATCATGATTTATCACTTATACTTTTTATGTACAATGAGAGCTTGTGCACCAGAGACAAATTCCCTGTGTGTCCGATCACACTTGGCTAATAAAGAATTATATTCTATTTCTATTATTTCTATTTCTGTTATTTCTATTTCTATTCCATTCCATTCCATTCCATGTTCTGTTCTGTTCTATTCTATTCTATTCTATTCTATTCTATTCTATTCTATTCTATT